TGAGAAGAAGAGGGCTATTCAATTTGGCGCGAGGACGGCTAAGATGGAGACGGGGAGGTCGAGAGGTACTGATGCTTTGAGCTGAAATGGACTTATGGCGGATGGATTTCTGCTACACGTTCGTTTTCGAGGCTTTCGAGGTGTGCTTGCGCACACACCCCCCATACATCTTCCTACACATCCATCTACTCTTTCTTTCTCTCCATTATAGATTTCTTTTTTTTTCCCTTGCACTCTTCTCCTATACTATGACTCCTATCCCTCCCTCCCTACTTCCCACCACCAGCTATGATGACAGAACATGGAAACAGATACTTCCGAAACATCTACCTCACCCAAAAACCCAGCCTTCCTTCATTTCAATACACCCAACCTCTACAAGCACACCTATCACCTCAAATACCCGAACCCTACACACCAGAACCCCAAACGCCCTATCTCTCCTAGTGTCTCCCACCCTCCATTCATCTATAGAGCAACAGCAGTCTTCGGACGGCGCGTAGCTCATGGTGAAAGGAAGCAGGCGAGGCGCGTTCTTAGGGAGGAATGGAGTGCTGTTTGGCTTTTTGGTACAGGGAGGGGATTTGGGGTTGGGTTGTGAGTGTGGATGGTATGAGATGGACGGTGGTTGGGGGGATCGGGGTGTGTTTATGAGGCATTTTAAAAGGCAAGTCTGAGCTGGTTATATTTTATACACTTTCACTTTCACCTTGAGGGACATGCAGATAGATCATGGAATACTTGGGGAGTAGATTGGTACCGGGCCTACACATGATATTTAAATTAGATAGCCAGTCTACTGTACGGCTTACAAGTAGGAGCAATATATCAAGCAAGATAATTGATTCAAAAAAAGGAAATTCCATATTAAGATAGCCACGAGTCAATCCCTCGAAGGGGAGACAATCAGAACCGGCCTAACAAAAAGATAATCAAAAACAAAGTAGGTAAACTGAAACATAGCAGAGAAACGAAAATGAGACAGATCGAAATGAAAAAGAAACGTAACTGAGGAACATGTCTCGAACTTTTAGAGAATCAGACGAGACGAACCAAATCGCGTTCATCTGATCTCGGTGAGACGTCGGGGCTAGGCTTTACCCATCACCCGCGCCTACCACAATACCCAGAGGGTCATAAGAAACCAAAAACATAAACAAACACAAAGCATGAATACCGAATGTGCAATCGTTATAATCGTCAGAACCACCAAGTGCGGCCATAAGCCAAAGACCAATGTCTCAGAATCAGGACCAAGATGGGATGAAAGCATCACCATTACTGGTAAGTGTTTTGAATCTGGAGCTGAGCCTTGAGCTTGGCAATCTCCGCGTCGCGCTCAGCGATGATCTTCTGAAGATCCTCGATGCGGCGCTCGGAAGTATATTGGCGTTCCATCTTCTTGGCTCGCGACTTGCGAGCCGCCTCAGTGTTGCGAGCGCGCTTAGCGGCAATAGGATCATTGGGATCGAACTCAATAGGCGACAGGTTCTTGCGTGATCGGGCGTTGACACCTGCGACGCTGGAGTGCTTGACTGCACCGGAGGCGGGAACAGGTGACGATGCCATCGATCGCTTTGCGCGAGGGGAGACAGGAGACATGGGAATGGGCAGGACCGGCTTCTTTTCCACAGTAGAGAAGGCAGCTGCGGCATCCAAAGTAGCAAAGTCAAAGGCATTTAGTGGATCTGACGAGTGATCAAAGAGGGAGGGCCATTCTTCGTGGCCGGCAATATCCATGTCGGTGAACATGGGCGAGGTGTTCTGGCTGAAGTTGCCGGGCGACTCGAAGGATGGGGTGCTCAAGTCGGTGAAGGTGCCAGAGGGAGGGACGGACGCATCCATCATGAGGTCCTTTGGCGAGATAGTGCCTGGAGGACCGGATGCGAAGTCGTTGACCAGACCGAGATCGTTGAACGAGAGCGGCGAATCCATGCTGGCAGGGAAGTCGGCAGAAGGAAGACCGAAAAGATCAACCTCGTGAGCTGGGGTGGGGTTAGCGAGATGTTCACTAGGGTATGGTGAGATGTATAATAAATTACCTTCCATGAAGTTGGGAGTGGACATGACACGTCTATATGTTTGCGCGTTGTTTTTGTGGTTTTGCTGACCGTTGAAAAGTGGGATGGGAGGGCGGTTGGTGTTTGGAGAATTGGAAGGCACGGAAGCCGTAGTACGGTTGTGCGTGAGCGTGGGACGGGACCAATAAGAGGGGGACCGGGCAAGCTGGGTCACTCTGGGGTCTTGGACAGGAGAGCCAGAGAACTGCTGCTGAAGATGCCGATGCAACTGCAGACTGAAGGAGTGTCGTCGAGGGTTATTCTGCGCCAGGAATGGCTGAAGTGCAGAAGGTCTATGGGTTGTGTTCACGGGCACACGCAAGCGGGGCTGCGGGTGTGGTGTTGCTGATGGATAGAGCACAAAGTCCTCGAGTGCACTGTTGTTGTTGCTGTTGTTGTTCTGATTGTTCTGATTGGAAGCCAAGGGCTGTGACGGGGGTGAGGGAAGCCATGGTTGCTGGTGGTAATCCGTGGTGAACGACGTTAAGTCGATCGGGGCAAAGTTGTTGGGAGAACTCGAGCTACGCGATGCGATGCTGAAGTTCAGAGGTCCAAAAGGAGACTCTGAAGGGGGAAGAGAGGAGATAGAAGGGTGGGTTCCGGTTGAAGAAATGATGCCTGTCTCAGTTGAGATAGACTGGTTATTGAAAGACGGGGAGCTTATTGGGCACCCATTTTGGCGATAGTGAAGTTGAGTATAATTTTGGTCTGATAGCAATATGGCGGTGTTATGGTGGTTAGGGGGATATGTGTGTGAAAAAACCGGTATAAGGAGGAAGGAAAATCAGGCAAACTGGGAGGGGAACTCAGGCACTTCTTAAGGGCTGCGTGCCCTGGTGCTGACCAATCGGAGTTTCGGAGCCGCACGGGGCTTAGTCGCAGAAGTCACGGGGTGTGACTCACAAGTGTGATCCGTGGTTCTGATTGGGTATATTGGACAGGCATCCATCTGGTCCACAGTACATGGGCTGATACCTACCTAGTTGCCTGCGTTTGCCAACATTACTCAGGTATCTTTCAAGTACCTGCCTCCACCAACCTCCCCAGGTCTTTTCACATTGACCAATAATTGTTCAGATTCCTATCCCTCCGGAATATCCAGGCATCCAACATTTTTACTTTTACTTTTTTTTTTTTTTCCCTGCTCCTTCTCTATTGTTATTTTTTATTTATTTCCCAAATCTTTCCAACCCTACTATGTATCCACATATATATATACATACAACGTACTAGGTTGAAGGAAATCCCAACTCCAGATAGTACCGGGGAGGTAGAGCCGTTCTCCATGAGGATGAGGATGCAAAGGATCCACCGATCTTTTCCTAATTGTCTCCCCGCGGTGGGCGGAGTACATGGGCCCATGTCCTATGAAATGCAAGCATTTCTTTAGTCCTGCCGAAGGGCGTGAAATTGACTTTTTCTATCCTGTCTCAAGATTTTATTATATGCTTCGTATATAGACCGTAACCCAGAAGTGTAAGTATACTTCCAAGGTTTCAGGGGGAGAAAAATGGCTCAATAGGAAGCACGATAGATTGGTTTATATACTTCGAAAGTTCTTAGCGGACTACGCTATACGGAGTAGTTCTCCGTAGTCCAGACCCAATTAATTGATTTTTTTTTCCCTCTCTTTTTTCTTTGATCTGTGTGTCTTTTCATAGTGTCAACGTATCTCGTACTCCCGGAAGGGGCCGAGGCTTCGCCGAAATCGGTGCCAGCCAGACACCGGTAGGCATGATACACTGGGAAGAACATGTCATCATTATTGCCTAGCATAACTAGTTAGTTGATTTTCAAGTCTAAACTTATATCAGCCGTCTTACAATCAATATAGCATCATATTGCAAAACGTTAAATGTAGGTAACCACAATATGAGGCCGTGTGAGAGGTCAATATCACCGGCATCGTAAACACCGTACATCTCTGCCTAATCGGATAGTGGTTTCCTAAAATGAGACAATTTGGTACGCCAGTTCGTCAAAATGTACCCCAGAATACCAACGCATCGCGATGGGGTCACTAGATCATCAACTACGAGTATTACTTGCATATATGCAACTAGGGTGGGGCTTTCCCATCTAAGCTTCTGTCGCTCCTTTTGTGCCGCCCATACAGAAGTTCACGACTGCTTCTGCTTAACAGAGCGCCATTCAACCAAAAGGCTTCCCTCCATCGTCATGCAAGCCAACGCAACAGTACGGTACCAAGTATGAGTCAAGCTCCGGTCGATACCACCCAAGACCTCATCCCACCGCATAGGAACTCCATTCTTAATATTGCCAAGTCCGTGCTCTCCCTGCTACGGCATCTGCCACCCTAGGCAACAGTTGATTTGTGAATATAACCTGCGCGATAGCGATAAACACTGCTGGACCCATACTATACCCGAACAAGATAACACCGATCCCAAGGTTGACATCTGCGGCACTCAACGTTGTCTGAACCGCTTGGTGAGCTTGGAAACTGATGCCTCCACCGAAGCCCACGAATCCGGAATAGAAGATGATCTTGGTGAGGGATGTGTGGAGATCGTACGTAGTCATCAAGCCCGCGGCAATTGACATACATACGGAACCGAATACCATAAAGGGGGCATAGCAGCCGAACGTGGTAGTGTCAATGCCCTAAAGAAAGAGCTCGGGCATCATTCCAACGAAAATGGGATTCATCAGGTAGCCGCTCTCGCTTGGGATCTGGCAGGATATAGTATTGTCAGTGCATTTTCTTGTAATCACGAATTGACCATGAAGTCTTACCCGAGATCGAACGATTTGATAGTATGTTCGTACGTACCACTCCAAGGCGTTTATCATCGAATTAGTACACGTCGTGAAGATGAATTCCGCAATGACACTTCGTCTTTTGATCGACATAATAAGACGGCAAAACACCCAGCCATCTCACCCTCTAACCGTAGACCGGTCACTGTTCTCCCTACAATGAACATAGTCGACGTAGCAGTGGTGGCGCAGAGTAAAGAGCCGACGAGGAATATCACATTGGTTACCAAGAAGATGGTCTTGATTAAGAAGATCTTATACAGCTTTACGAACCCGAGTTGGAATGCGCAGGTGCAGAGTCGAATTGCAGACGAGTACCATCCCACGTCAGCCACGGTGTAGAAGTGGTTAGTGATGCTCGGCACTGTAGCGACGATGTTGGCGTCCAGGCCTCCGAAGCTAAGGACCGCGCGAAGTGAGATGGTGGTGAGCCAGAACTTGGTGCCTGTTGGGTAGTTGGGCTCTGTGTCTAGGCTAGATTCGATGTTGGGAGGCTCAGTTATTCGTTCCGAGGCCGTAGGTGGTTGATTTTGCTGGTGTTGCCCTAAGGAAAAGGCCTGTTATGGTTCAAGTCGCCATTTTATGACATTCTTGAGAATGAGTATACGAGAAGAAAGAGACTAATAAAAAAAAGTCGCTAATATTATACACTTGTGCCCCTCGGGATGTGTGAAGGCCAACTCCGAGAGTCTGCTCAGCGAGCTGGTACCTGCACATGTGAGAGGTATACTAGCGCGCCATTCCACAAGGATTCTGGCCTGCTCACCCTGGCGATACCCAACTATTGATAGGGCCTAAGACTACGTATAATACAATGGACACAATTGTAAAGCAAAAACTGAGAGATTCTATTAAGTATTACCTATCGCAAGGTGTGCCACCTCCACCGGTGGGGTATAAACCAGCCGTTCGGGACAACAACGGTAGACAACATTAGAGGGTCAATTTGGGTTGCAGGAAGAAACAAGTCAAGAGACGAGATCCAAAGCTCAAGCAACAAGCAAAAAGAGCACCCATCCTCCCCACAGGGTATCAAACACAAAAGCAAGGAACCAAAAAAAAAAAACACAGCAGAGTGGTATCAATCTAGTCGGACGACACACCACGTAACGCATAATCGCGGTCGTAAAGGAATGAACCGCAGTCGAGAGGGCTGCTGGCGTCGTTGGCGCCGATGGTATTATTTTTAGAGAAAAAGAAAAACAGATTAATGGGGGGGGGGTGAAAAAAGCGACAGCGGGTATCTCATTGCCGCCATCTCAGGTCCAGGCCCAAATAAGGGGGACCGTGGAGTACCGAAGACAGCGACAGTGGCGAGGGTAAAACAAAACAAAACAACTGAAGCGCAGTGGTATCAAATTTGCACCTTCAGGCCTCAATTAGACCATCAGGGATATCGCGAGCGGTCGATGGATAGGACATGTCCCACCACCTTTCAAACTCCACGACAGGTCTCCGAGGAGTCGCACTTCATGCGGTAGCCTGAACGGGGGTGGCGACAGGAACAGTGACGTTCTTGGAGTCCTGGGCAGTCTCGACGGCCTTGGGGGTCTCCTCAACGACAGCGGGGGCCTCCTCGGTGGCAGTCTCCTTGGCAGGGACGGCAGGGGCCTCCTCAGCGGCATCAGCCTTGGCCTCGGTCTCAGCGGCGGCAACCTCCTCCTTGTCGAGCTTGACAGCCTTGCTGGGCTTGCGGAAAAGACCGCCGAGCTTGTTGGACTTGGCCTTGGTCTCACCGTCGGTGACCTCGTTGTCAGAGGAGTCAGCCTTCTTCTCCTTCTTCACAAGGTTGCCGAAGAACGAAGTGCGGCGCTTCTCCTTGGGAGTGGAGGCGGCCTCGGCAGCGGGGGTCTCAGCAGCGGGGGTCTCCACAGCCTCAGCGGGGGCAGTGACAGCCTCGGCTTCGATGGGCTTGACGGCGGCCTCCTCGACTGGGTTCTCGAGCTGAGGAGCGGTGCTGGCGACGGGGGTCTCCTCGACAGCGGGGGCGGTAGCCTCCTTCTCGGACTTCTCCTGGGAGGGGCTGGCGACCTTCTGGAAGAAGTTGCCGAAGATGGAAGCACGCTTGGCCTTCTTCTCAGCCTTCTTCTCATCCTTGACCTCCTCCTTGGCGACTTCGGTAGTCTCAGCAGAGGTCTCGACAGTAGGTTCGACAACCTCGGCGGGGGCAGCAGCCTCAGTGGTCTCAGCGACGACAGGGGCGGCAGCCTCAACGACGGGCTCAGCAGTAGGCTCAGCGGCCTTGGTCTCCTCGGCGGCGGGGGTCTCTTCCTTCTTCTCCTCGGCGTCCTTCTTGCCTAGGAGGGAACCGAAGATGCTGGTGCGCTTGCGGGACTGGGAACGGCTCTTGGAGGCGGTCTTCTCTTCCTTCTTCTCCTCCTTCTTCTCCTCCTTGGGCTCCTCCTGAGCGGCCTCAGCAGCCACAACGGGGGTCTCCTCCTTCTTGTCCTCGACCTTCTTCTCCTCGGGCTTCTTGGCGGCAACGACAACGGCAGGCTTGGTCAGCTTCTCAAGCTCAGCCTTGTAACCCTCACTGGAGGTGATGGTCTCCTTCTCGGCCTTAGCTTCAGTGGCCTTAGCCTCGATGGCGACAACCCAGCTGTCACGCTCAGCGGCGCTGGAGGCCTGGAAGGTGTGCTTGTGGCCAGCAATCTTGAAGAGGAATTCGCTGGTACCCTCCTTGGTCACGTCAGAGACATCGGCCTATATAACATGTTAGTTGTTGTCGCATTCGTGCAGTCGCCAAAAATCACTTACAAGGTTCAGAATGCCAGCGGGGGTGGCCTTATCCTCGGCGCGCTTGGTGAAGAAAAGCAGGCCCTTGCCGGTCTGGGTGGCCCAGGCAGCGGTGGGGTTGGCGACGGCAGCCTTCTCGTTCTGGTGGAAGACGGAGAGGTTCTTGCTCTCAAGAGCCTCCTCGTTGAAGTAGAAGAAGCGCTTGGCGAAGCGGAAGCCTCTAGAAAAAGCAGATCCGTTAGTCTCTCGTTTCACTTGTGTGATCTCAGTTGCAACTTACTTGACCAGACCGGGGGCCTTGTAGCCCAGAACACCGTCAGTAGCGGGCTTCACTTCCTCCTTGGCGGGCTCAGCAGCCTCGGTGCTCTCAACGGCGGGAGTAGCAGTGGGCTCCTCGGTGGTCTCCTTGGGGGCCTCAACAACCTCGGCAGGGGTCTCAACAGCAGTTTCCACGGCAGGGACGACCGCGGGGGTCTCCTCAACAGTCTTCTGGACTTCGGACATGATTAAAATAACTGGGTATTAAAGAAGCAGAGCTTCGTAGATAAGAAAAAAGCTTTGGGTATGGGGTATCTCGAAAAGAAAAGCAAAAGAATTAGAGCACAATAGCTCGGGTATCACGAAGTAGGGGGTATTTTGCTTTGTGGGAAGAAAGAAGGGAAGAGAGGAGGAAAAGGGAATAAAAGAGTCAGGTTGTTGATGAGCCAAAAATGGAAAGGACCTGCAGGGAGCCCAGAGCTCAGTGGATCCGAGATTAGCTAATGGTACTTCAGGGGTTAATTGTTTTTTTATTTCTTTTATATTATTTCATATTATTATTTTCTATTTCATATTTCTAATTTCTAATTTACTTCGTTTCACTCATTTTCGATATTTTTCACCTTGAATTTACTATGAAACCTGGAATATGGCGCCTTTGTCCGGGATAATGCTCCATCTCTATATACGAAGTACTGAGATCCACGGGTTACGGACCACTTCGTAAAAATACGAACGTCTTTGTCTAGCATGACGCTAGACCTGAACTGAATTTAGTTCCTAAGAAAACTTCAAATAGGAGAAAGAAAACTCTGCAAATCTTGGCTTTGAACAGTATGAAACCATCACACCATGGCCACCCGAGCTATGATCGGCCATGCAGCTTGAATCAACGGTCCCCTCATCTAGTATCCCCCTAATTTACCCGTGCAGTTCGGATACCCTTACCGATTTGATGTCTTTCGACACCTTTTGGGGGGGGGGGTTTCATAATGTTCTATTCTATACAAAAAAATTTTGCAACATATCGTCATGGCGGGGTTATTCTCGGATGGTCATCAGACTGTCAAAAAAGTATAAGCACAATTGCATACTTCCTGGCCCCGTAAGGAGGTTCTATGATTGTTCGGTGGGCCACACCGTTGGCGCTCATTCCACATCACTTTCAACTCCGTTACACAGTTCAAAGGGGTTGAAGTTGTCAGAATTACCCAAATGATCTATTCATTATCAAATCAACTGAGCCTTTCGTGCTTTCGTATTACTCCGCATGGTCGACAACTTGATCCAAGCTTGCAAGGCTCTCCCTCGGAATGACCATATCGGTACTAGAATATCCCTTTAGAGGGTCATCCCTGTGGTACTCCATGACCCCCACCACCACCAGTCCCGTCATTTTACTTTCTTCGTCATGATCAGCCTACAGTATACAAAATAGTGCGGAGTAGGAAGTACTACAAGGTACTGTACAGATGAACTTTCTCGCATTCATTCGTGTGCCTCAAGGCAGGTATTAGCTACGCTATGCACCTATCTTTAGGTTCTGCAGAATGGTTGGCCATCGCGACTTCCTGGTGCAATCTTTACTGTGGCCCCATGACCTGATATCAACTCTATGATGGAGTGGCGTGGGCATCCTTGTGGACAACCAACCAGCAGTGATATAACCCCTCCTTCTTGGCTCCGACTTTGATGTGCATCCTATCGGCGTATCAACTCTCTTTACCAAGCATCCCATGATGTCTTTATCTAGCCAATCCCAGCACATCTACAGAATATCGCTTCTTTGCGTGATCTGCGCATCATTCCATACGAGGATCATCTCATCATACTTCCAATCCACGGAGTACGAAGTATACTACACAAGAACATAACTATTTGAAAAACTAGAAACAAGATCCACAGGCTCGGAAAATAATGCCCCTAATCAAGCCCCTTTTCTTTCGTCATTTATTCCCGTACAACATACTCCGTACTACGCTCCAGAAAATTCCAGATTCATTTGCGATAGAAAAAAAAAAAATTACGCCCCCACCAGACTATTTAGTTCCGAGTCTTAGCGAATAGGGGGCTAGCCAGCCCTACCTACCAACTCTGAATCAGAGCACTCTATTTGGCATTTCCACGGTTCATCTAGATAGGCAGGCCCAACCTGAAAATAATATTCTATACGGTCCGTTCTTTTTCTCTGTGTTATATACTACCATGGCACCATTTTTTTATATCCCTGGTTATATGACTGGTCTATATCAGCACCATGAGGTCCCAACGCTCTGTCGAAGCATTTCAAGTAATGATAGCCACTCGAAGGAATCCACTAGGAACCCATTACACCCTATCATGGGCCCCCCTTCTGCACCCGTTAGGGCCTACAGGGTTACTCAGGACCATTTATGTACCAGCCCTGCCGTCTTCACCCATTTTTTTGCGGTTGCGAGTGTCCTAAGTCTCGACCCTGCTCCCGCTGCGTCCTATGAATGGTTGGATTTTACTGGTCGTTGACGATCATATCATTGTTCCAAGTCTAACTTGTTGATCTTTCCTCCTCTCTCCCTGTATGGACTAAATTTTTGACACCATGCAAGTGCCATGCGTAGCGGAGCTCGGGCGCCTAAGGATTTCCCGTTTTTTGAGATGCATATTGCTCCATCTGACTACATCATACCTGTGTTCTAGGGACATTGTACCGTGCATGGTGCAGATAGCTAAGAGTGTCACACCAGGACTACAGTTAGGTCCGCACAGATACTTCACTTGCGAGAAAGACAGAACATATCTCCCAAGCGCAGAGTAAATTAATCTTAATACTTCACGCCAAGCACCAACTTGAGCTGCGGTGTACACAAGGGACGGATTTCCCGTTTATCTAAGCTCTCCGATGCTCCCCGACGGCTTTAGCGCCTATTAGATCGACTTAACCATGGCGCACTTTGATGAGGATGGTCATTTGCTTAATATTAGCTTTATATTAACTGTGGGTTTCTCGCCCGATTTAATCTTGTAGCACACTCTGAACAAAGGTATACTTCCGACGGACTGTATCCGAATCAAGTTGTGATTCAAACGTCTTGCGGTTTTGGGTCGCACGGGAGGTGAGAGCCACAATACAAAGTTGTGGAATAGGGGAGGATCCACACAAGCTCGGGTATGGAGACTGGCTTGTTTTTGAGGCGTCGAGTGAGAACAAGGAGTTTTCAATTATTGATTCCCGTCTGTGATCTGTGTGTTCAAGCTCATTTTCACAGTGTCTAGCACAAGCATGTAAAAACCTAGGAAATAAATGCAACGTACCTGTGTCCTGTACGTTCTACAATGTACATACTCCGTAGAGCTATTCCTCATCCTGACAGGTCAGAAACATCTTGCCCAAAAAGGAAGGGTGGATGAGTCATATCACATGTCGGTGAGTATTTGTATTGTCACGTGGTTTCGGCTGCTGGCCAATCAGAGGACGCTAGCAAACGTAGGGGGTCTGCCACCGCCTTTTCTGCCTTTCTGTGTTTGCTTAAATACCCCCAGCTCCCTCGCCTCTTCCTCTTCTTTTTCTTTCTTCTTCATACTTACCTTGTTTGGGTGACTGCGATCATAAAGGCGGTTCACCACAGTCTGGTCCCTGCATTGCACAGCGCGGCGGAACAGGCTGTTCAACGGCCTTCTGGGTCATTGACAGGCGTATTCTTTGGCACTCTCCATCCGTGGAACTCTTCTTTTCATCAAGTTTTGAGCCAGTGGCTCGAGGTTGGAGAAGAGATGTCCCTCGTAAATGAAGTTGTGATTGTTGCTTAGCTCTAGTTGTATTCATGTTCCTTCGCCCCACCGAAGCTCCATGAGCATCCACCAAGCTTGTTTTGCGAAGCCCACTGTGTCTTCTCGACGCGCACCGACTGCTGGTGGCTTTTCGTGATTAGTAAATGATAGCCTATTGCTCGTATTCATTCTAGAGCGCCTTATGTTTAACTCTTTCTTCTATGTTGGTCTCACATTTCCCGGGCGGCCCGTTTTGTTGACATGACGTCGACTCAACCTTAGAATGGCTTCGCCACGCCACATGTGGCGACAAAGCACCAAGCTAACTTGCCAGCATAAAACCCTCCGCAACATTCTACTAAAGCCAAACTCACATCAGCTCAAATCCTAAGTCTACCTTCATCACTTCAAAACTTCCTCAAAACCACTGCTACACTCGCGACCAAAACCTCAACCTGAAACCAAGATGCCCGTCCCCACCGCCGACCTCTTTGACAAGCAACAAAACGAAGCCAATGGCACACAGCCTCCCAGCTCTACTACTCGCACTTCCACCGACCCAAGCAACCACGGCTACTTCGGGGCCGCGCCTGGCCACTCAGCCAGTGCATCGCAGAATTCCGATAGTGGTCGCGCTCTGACCAAAGAAGAGGCCGATCGCCTGTACGAGGAGCGGATGGAGGATGAATACGCGAAGAGAGATGGTGGTGCCTAAATCAACGCCGATGTACGGCTGAACATATCTATTCCTATGTGCTCATCCACTCCAGTCGATAGGCGCTAGTGTCTACCGATGACGATGGGGTTGGGCTTTCTTTTTTTTTCCCACTTCCTACGACTATGTATTATGAGTATAGTTATCAATGTCCAAACAGTTATGTTTTAAACTCCCAAACTCCCGAATTTATAAGACGGCACTGTATTGGAGTTTCAAAGGAACTAAGAGATGCGTTCTCCCAGTGTGGTGGTGGTCGAAGTCTGGTCCGATGTCAATACATATTTCTATCAAGTTTTATTAAAAAAAAAAAAAAAAAAAGTATTGCCATCCTGTAGTTATATATCGTTACTCTGTGGCTGTAGCTCGAGAACAGGCCGAGAAGTAACACAGCCGCAACTATGACTCACAAAATATTCCAACGGTTGTCTGCTTACTTCGACGCTAGATTACGCTAACAACCGTATATAACTAACTATGGCATAACCGTGGCAATTTTCAGTAGTAACTCGGTTGCGAAATTTCAAATCAGATAATGCAAACAATTTGCATTGATATATTATTGTCGTTTCGATATATATATAACACGAAACACGATTCCAAGAGCATCGCATCCATACTTTCAAAATGAGCTTCTACCCCAACCAAACCACATCCGTGATCATTCCGGCCGATTTGGAACCTATCCACACAGGTCGACTGTACCTACGACTGCTGACAGTGGCTGACGCCGCGGCCATCTTTGAGATCCGACGACGACAAGATGTGGCAGATTGGCTGTAAGATTATACCCTAAGAATAATTACCACGATCTCCCGGGATAGACACTGACTTGTGACTGTCTGTAGCTGGCCCAGAGTCCCCCACAAAGACATATCAGAGTCCGAGGCCATCATTGCTAACAAGACATTCACAACACCAGACGCGTCAGGTACTGTTGGGCGGAAATTCTTCTTTGCTATTATCCGCTCCGATGATCCATCGCAGAGGGTTATTGGAGCAGCGGGGATCAATGCTCTTAGCCCAGCCCCATCAGTTGGGTACAATATACATCCTGACTTCTGGGGCAAGAGCTATGCCACCGAGGCAGTTGCTGGTATCATAGATGCATGGTGGAAGCTGGACAGAATGGGGTTCGAGGGGACTGTACCAGATCTCAAAAAAGAGAAGCTGTTCGCGGCGTGCAATAAAGCTAATATTGGTAGCGTGAAAGTGCTGCAGAGGACTGGGTTTAGTATCTACCACGAGCAGTCGATCGAGGGTGATGTGGTTGCACTTTTTGAGCTGGAAAATCCTACCAGATAGTATGGCAGAGGAAGTATCTTCTCACTCGGCGATAGCCTGATGCTCAAGGATCTGGGGATAACAATTTGCCTGCTTAACCCTCATCTAGCTTGCTACAGGTATCTACATAGTCCTTAAACCTGTTGGCCGTCACTGCGAGTGGCATTGTAATAAGAGATTTGAACATATCTTAGGGAACCAAGCGGCCAATGTTCCATCGAAAGACCTCGTAGATGACATTGCAACCATTCAAGGTAAGAAAGCAGCTGTGTAGACACCGACCCTGACTATGATACTTTGGACACCTCGATTGGATCCTGGGTCTAGTGATGGTACATTGTGTTCAATGGCAAACAGCAACTGAAAACCTGCATATGTGGGCATTTACGCTGTGCAATCTCTCCCTTTGACGTATATAACACATGAAAGATAGCTTCGTTCTTTCTCCTTCGTCAACACCCCAGTCCTTACGGACATCCACACATCTGCCTCGACAGTTGCCTATTAGAGTGCGATATCCAACGCAATCATCATGTAAGCCACTGAATACAGTTGTTCTTGAGAAGGTAGGATCTCGGAAACTGAACCCTATGTAGGTAACTGGCAGAAATGGTCATGGAATATGGCACCGACCCCTCAAGAGATTTGAGAGAAATGCGCAATATGGAGCCCTTGCGAGAACTTGTCCTTAGTGATATGGCACCGTCAACTTTTTACACCCGTCTTTGACACAATCACAGTATTAGGGCAGCAACAATTCAGATTGTGGGCGTCCAGGCTCCGACATTCTGTGAGGCTTGCAAAACAAATTGTTCTTATACAAGTCTCCAAGGCATGTCCAAAGGTTTTTGTGCAAACTGTTTATGGAGAACATCGACCCTACGATGTAGCACCAGCAAGTGTACACTCTCAAATACAACAGTTATTTTATGATATGTACGCTAACGGCTGTTCTATGAAAGTTAAGCCTACTCTCCGGAATCGGAGAGGGCCAAATGTCAACCATGCCAAATTGGTTATCCAAGGAAAGGCGACCAAGCTAAGACGAGAAGTAAGGCAATTTGATGAGAGCTTCAGAAGGACTTAGCTTGTCATGCTCGATATTCTTTATGGAGAGCCCAATATAAAGCTACAATATCAAATCAATAATGATTAGATCTCTCTGAGATCTCATATCGAGGAAGTCTCTGAAGCCATGAAGTGTATTTCTTTGAAGAAAGATGACGTGGAAGATGACGAGGTACTATCACGACATGTCAGTGGCCTGTGGAGGAGAAAGCACTCTCGGCCCCCAGATATGTGACCAGGAGCCCTTAGTGTAGTATCTCCTGCAAAAAGCAAGAGAAGAAGGAAGTGTTGTGTGTGATGTTTTTTTCCAAAACTTGTGTCCCCTCGCGCACTAGAGTGTAAATGACATCAAACGCATTGAGACCACCGAAAATGAGTTGCAGATGATGGTATAGCTCGCACATTCATCATAGATGTACATAGGGTACTGTATATGGGCCTTGCTAGACTGTAGCGGGCGCTTATCCTCGAGGTAGTAGAGCGTAGAATCGGATTTTCAAGTTAACCCAGCTTTTATATACTATGCAGGGGCCCTGCTCTCTATTTGCATGATGGGCCTCTAGACACAACGACGAGTCCTATGTTGTATACCTGGAGTCTCAGGAGATATTGGGGTCACCAATCCAGCAAGGAGATTGACTGAGAAGAAGAATAGTCAAGATTATGGAAACTTTATGTACATATATAGAAACTGTGGGATCATTCCAATAAGATTGTAGCAGAACATATAGGACCTGGTAACCCATATAAACACATATTTTGTAACATGCGATGGCGTATTCGTTCTTCAACTATGATCTGTTGGGGAAATCTCCAGGGCTGTTCCCACTCCCCGGTAGGCGATTAGGACAGAGCCCCTACTTATACGGAGCCCTGTAATACAAAGGAGCACAGATACGAAATATAATAATAATATCAGCTCATCTGCCTAGGTGTAGTTGTACTTGGGGATGGGTGAAAGGAAACCTACGCTGTATGTTGTAGAATCCCATGACATCACGTGTGAACTAAAGCACGTGACTGGATGCAGCCAGCTTGACAGGTAGCCACCCAAGACAAGTCCAAGTAGAGCCCGGACTATCTGCAACAACAGAGCCGAGCATCTGTGCCTTTCATTGAATCTATCCATCTACTGTCGCTCTTTAGCTTTCTTCCTTTCCCTGTCTTCTCACCAAAAGACACGGCTCCTGGTAGCCTCTTTACACCATGGCTCCGCGGGACACCTTCTTCCGCTCGGCGGATATGAGCTTGACCCAGCTCTACATTGCCAACGAGATCGGAAGAGAGGTTGTTAGTGCTTTAGGTGAAGTTGGTCAGGTTCAGTTCCGAGATGTAAGTGGTGAAGAACGCTTTGCTTCGATACTCCCCCGCTAACCTCTTCTAGCTCAACCCGGACACGAACGCTTTCCAAAGAACCTTTACAAAAGAAATCCGTCGCCTGGACAATGTCGAAAGACAGCTCCGCTATTTCCACCAACAGATGGAAAAGGCCGCAATCCCCATGAGGTCTTCCTCGGACTTCTCCGATACATTGGCTGCCCCTTTGGCGTCAGAGATCGATGAGTTGGCCGATCGCAGCGAGAGCCTTGAACAGCGAATTATTTCTCTAAACGATAGCTATGAGACTTTGAAGAAACGCGAAGTCGAGCTAAGCGAATGGCGATGGGTACTTAGAGAGGCCGGTGGATTCTTCGATCGGGTAGGTGGCTTCGAGTATATCGTCGTTGACAGACGAGGCTAACTAAAAATAGGCCCACACACAAACAGAAGACATTCGTCAGTCTTTGGACAACGATGAAGCTCCCTTGCTCCGCGATGTTGAGCATCACGCCCCTCGTCAAAACGGAGATACCCAGGGCCAGCAGAGCTTCTCGGAAATGAACATTGGATTCGTTGCTGGTGTTATCCCCCGGGATCGTATTGGAGCATTTGAGCGTATTCTTTGGCGCACACTGCGTGGAAACCTTTACATGAACCAGTCTGAGATCCCGGAGCCCATTATCGACCCGATGACCAACGAGGAAGTCCACAAGAATGTTTTCGTCATTTTCGCCCACGGCAAGAACATCCTTGCCAAGATTCGAAAGATCTCGGAGTCGCTCAACGCATCCTTGTACGGTGTTGACGAGAACAGTGAGTTGAGAAGAGACCAGATTCACGAAGTGAACACCCGCCTCGGCGATGTTGGCAATGTGCTCCGGAACACCAAGAACACCCTTGACGCGGAACTTTCGCAAATTGCTCGCTCGCTCGCCGCGTGGATGATCATTGTTAAGAAGGAAAAGGCCGTTTACGATACCTTGAACAAATTTTCATATGATCAAGCGCGGAAGACGCTGATCGCCGAGGCGTGGTGTCCGACAAACTCTCTTGCTCTGATCAAGTCAACTCTTCAGGATGTGAATGATCGCGCGGGCCTCACTGTTCCTACAATTGTCAATCAGATCCGAACCAACAAGACCCCTCCGACTTTTGTCAGGACGAACAAGTTCACCGAAGGATTCCAAACAATCGTGAATGCTTATGGTATCCCGAAGTATTCGGAAGTCAACCCTGGCCTGTACACGGTCGTCACTTTCCCCTTCTTGTTCGCAGTCATGTTTGGTGATTGTGGTCACGGTGCACTTATGACCTTGGCCGCTTCTGCTATGATCTTCTGGGAAAAGAAGCTGGCGCGGACTAAACTGGATGAACTGACATACATGGCATTCTATGGACGATACATCATGTTGATGATGGGTCTGTTCTCCATCTACACTGGATTTATTTACAACGATATCTTCTCTAAATCTTTCACTTTCTTCCCCAGTCAGTGGCAATGGCCCGAGACTATCGAGCCCAACAAGATGGTGGAGGCGACATTGAAAGAAGGCTATCGTTTCCCAATTGGTCTGGACTGGAACTGGCACGAGGCGGACAATTCCTTGCTCTTTTCGAACAGTATGAAGATGAAGATGAGTGTTCTCCTCGGATGGTGCCACATGACCTATGCCCTTTGCTTGCAGTACGTCAATGGACGTCACTTTAAGTCTAAGGTTGATATTTGGGGCAACTTTGTTCCTGGATTGCTTTTCTTCCAGTCAATCTTTGGTTATCTTGTCCTCACCATACTCTACAAGTGGACTGTGAACTGGCAGGAGAAGGGAGTGAACCCTCCCGGTCTCCTCAACATGCTCATTTTCATGTTCCTGAGCCCTGGCACGGTAGAGGAACAACTCTATCCTGGCCAGAGCTTGGTCCAGGTTCTCCTGCTCCTCATCGCTGTCGCCCAAGTACCTGTCATGCTCTTCCTCAAGCCGTTCTGGCTCCGCTATGAACACAACCGTGCTCGTGCCCTGGGTTACCGCGGCCTCGGCGAGAACTCCCGGGTAAGCGCACTTGACGCTGATGGTGATATGGACGGCGCACTGGGTCGTGACAGTATGGCCAGCGACGGAGAAGGCGTGGCCATGCTTTCTCAGGACATCGATGAAGGCGAAGAGCACGAGGAATTCGACTTCGGCGACGTGATGATCCACCAAGTCATCCACACCATCGAATTCTGTCTCAACTGTATCTCTCACACAGCGTCTTACCTTCGTCTGTGGGCTCTGTCGCTTGCTCACCAGCAACTCTCTATCGTTCTCTGGACCATGACTATTGGTAGTGCCTTTGACCAGGAGAACCCTGTGACCCGTGTTATCATGATTGTTGTCAGCTTCTATCTCTGGTTTGTGTTGACTATTTGCATTCTATGCGTCATGGAAGGTACTAGTGCCATGTTGCATTCGCTTCGTCTTCACTGGGTTGAGGCGATGAGCAAGCATTTCGTCGGTGAGGGTATTCCTTTCTTACCTTTCAGCTTCAAGACCCTGTTGGAGGACGACCCTGTGGACTAGTTCGTTTCCTTTTTTTTTTCTACAACGCACGGGACTGTCCCACTTCTTTCCTTTTTGTATTGTAAAGGGTCTAGAATTATACATTATCTATATTATACCGATCCCTGTTATTATTCCATGTAGATCCCTACATATACCCACACCGAACTATCATTTATAAGGTCAATAGTCCCCTTTAATTAGGTACACCAATGGCATTACCTAAATCTCAGGAACTTTTCAAGTGCGCATGACTGCGAGTGGGGTATAGGGAATTCATTCTTCCGTTGCTGATCCCGAGGCCGAGTCGGCAAAAGGGACAGACCGGAAGGATCTAGACCATTGGACAACACATCTTCGATTAGGTTGGACATATTGGTATGGGGGAATAGCTAATGAGAAATAGTATAGGGGCTTATCATAAAAAAGTCAAATTTCTGCTGCGATCAGCGATAATAGAAGACTTTTGAAAGGAAGTTCTATAGTTAAGAAACGGGGATTCCCGGCAAGGGGGGAAACCGGACGAGGCCCCGGGAAGGTCACGCGGGGCAAAATGACGAAAACGAATGCCGGGAGCTCTGAGGTCACTGCTCTCCCCCATACTTCTACCCGGTTTAATCCCCCCCTCACTGACGTTGAATTACTTTTTCTTGTTTAAAGATTGCCACTGCTACTACTTAACTCTTTTGAAACTCAATTGACTATACCTTTTAATCTTCATACCATAAATATCTCCAATACCTCAAAAATGGCTTCAGGATCCCCCGTCGGAGCGGAGAAGATCAACACTGATATTGTCACACTTTCCCGCTTTTTCACAGAAGAACAAATCAAGCACCCCGAAGCCTCGGGTGATTTCACTCTCCTGTGCCATGCCCTTCAATTCTCTTTCAAGTCAATTGCCTACTACATCCGTCGTGCCTCTTTGATCAACCTTACCGGACTGGCCGGTTCCTCGAACATAACCGGTGATGACCAGAAGAAGCTGGACGTGATCGGCAATGATATCTTCATCTCCGCAATGCGCGGCTCCGGCAAGTGCCGCATTGTCGTCTCAGAAGAAGAAGAGGAAGTGATTAGATTCGACGAGCACCCCTATGCTCGCTACGCCGTCGTCTGTGACCCCATCGACGGTTCCTCTAACCTGGACGCCGGCGTGTCTGTCGGAACCATCTTCGGTGTCTTCCAGCTTCCCGACGAGGTCCTGGGCCCCAACAAAACCGTCGGCCCAGAGGATCTGCTCCACCCGGGTACCAGCCTGGTGGCCTCCGGCTTCACCATGTACGGCGCCTCAGCGCAGCTGGTGATCACTATGCGTGGCGGCGGTGTCAACGGCTTCACGCTCGAGAACTCGCTTGGAGAGTTCATCCTCACCCACCCCAACATGAAGATGCCCCCTTCGCGCGCCATCTACTCCGTCAACGAGGGCAACAGCCAGTACTGGGATGAGTGGTGCAACGCCTACTTCCACAGCCTCAAGTATCCCGAAAACGGTGGCAAGCCTTACAGCGCCCGTTACATTGGTAGCATGGTCGCCGATGCTTACCGCACTCTGTTGTACGGCGGTATCTTCGCCTACCCGGCCGACTCGAAGAGCCCCAAGGGTAAGCTGCGTATCCTGTACGAGTGTGCGCCTATGGCTATGGTCTTCGAGAATGCAGGCGGTCTTGCTGTCAACTCCCGCATGGAGCGGTTGATGGAGGTTGTTCCTGAGAGCATCCACGATAAGAGTGGTGTCTTCCTCGGCTCCAAGGAGGAGGTAGAGAAGATCATTGCTATGTACAACAAGTACAAGAAATGAGCATCTCGCTGAGAGATTACTTTATTCTTTTTTGAATGCTGTTTCCAGCATATTCCCACCTAACACTATTTATTCATCTACCTTATTCTTGGACATGATGATTTAGCTGGTCGGAGTTTACATTTTGGTTTTCCGATCTCTGCCTCGCTGCAGTTTTGTTTTCAGCGCTTTACGATACTTTATGCCCGCACATGTCGGGGTTAAAAATAAAAGAAAATCTTTAAATCATGATGTTTCGTACTGTAGTCCTACCTACTCTGTGTATACTCCATAGTGCACACAGGGCATGGGAACGTCACCAGATTGGGTGCCACAGAGAATATAGCTCACATCCATGTCTGCATTAATTCCACAGCCCAGGCCCTGCAGGACCGGCACTTCGGGTTCAGATGCAGGTTTGGTGATAGCGTCAAATCCATTACGATGACTCTTCATTTGAGTGGGCGATGGCGTTCTCCAACTCAGCCCTATAATAGTTCAGAGCTTCCAAAAGCTTCGAAAAATGAAGCAATCTCAGATATCTGTCTAATTGTTATATCTCCATACTTTGAAGACTAGTGTTGTCAGGAAATACATAGCCCTGGATGTAGATATTCGACCATGTCTTCTCTACCCATCGACAAAGCTCCTCTGACAACAGAACCCGAGGAAAATCCTATAAAATCAGAGAATCCGGCTGGATCTGAGCCTGCATGCCAGACACATCGCCTTCCTAGGTCTATGTGTTCTCCCCAACACACCGGACAGATGTAACTCGCGCTTCCTCAGTGCCGACGAAATCCGCCTGGCGCAAGAGCGCGTAGCATTTGAGAACCGCGAAGCCCGCCAACCTTTCACCAAGGCCAGAATTCTCCAGATCCTGAAAGGCTGGCGGCTGTGGGGTCTAGTCGGGTTTGCGTTTTTTTTTCTCTCGCCGGCAGACGGTGCATCCTCGAACAGCGGCTTTCCAATCTGGCTTAAGGCGGAGGGATACTTGGTCGAGAGCATCAATACGATTACGACAGTCTTGCCGGCGGTCACCATTGTGGCGTCTGTGATATGTGGAGTTATATCTGATGTGTACGATGCGAAGGCTAGCTTGATTGCTACCACTACTGTGTTGAATATCTTTGCTTGCATTGTGCTAGCTATCTGTAATGTCCCTGCTGGACTGGAGTTGTTTGCGTTCTTCCTGTCTGACACCGTGAATGGCATTGCGGCTATTATTTGTGCCTGGGCAAATGAGATTTGTGCCCATAGTGCTGAGGAGCGTGCTCTTGTCATTAGTGCTATGAATACTATTGGTGATACCTTTCGGGGCTTGAATTCCGCTTTTGCGAGTGTTGGTGCAGCCTGATCCTGAATTTCATAATAACTATTTCTTTTTGATTTAGCGTGTAAAAGACTGTTGATGCTCCGAGGTATCTTATTGGATATAATTGGACTATTGCCCTTGATGTGTGCATGCTAGCTATGCTAGCTGTTCTATGTAAATTCTGGGCTCGCGAAAAGAAGCGGGTTCATACATAAGTGAGTATTGTACTCGTCGAGTGTGAAATAATAGATTACGATAATTTTATTATTAGATTTCGACTTTCTCCCTGTTGCAGTAGTCTGTTACTATCATACCTAGATGACCTCGGGAGTCGGTTGGGTACTTGACGTAAGCAGAACTCGCCTATGGCAAAGCTAGCCCAATACAGGCTAGCGCCGGCTGAAGGTGATTCCGCGCCGTCGTAGCTTGAAAAAAAGTACAAATTTCTCCTTTCACTCTTTTCTCTTCCATCATCCTACGCTCATCTTCAGCATGGTCAATGCTTCCATTGCAGACGAAGGTTGAGGTCGATTGATCTCTGGCCTTGAGCCAACGATAACTGTCGACACAATGTGTCTTTCACTAACCAACAGGTGCTCCTCAGGTTCTGCAACGATGGTAAGATCTTGTCCACTCCGTTCCCCCGAATACAAACACACCCAATATGATGATACCCTTAACCAAACAAACTAGAGTCTTTGACCTCAAGGGGAATGAAACTTATGTTATTGCACGTCAGGCTGATCTCACCTCATTACTTTGAATTATCACAAAATTTTGAGTTGGACTGCGCTAACTTGCGTTTCCAGAAATGATAGTAAATACATCACACCGATCGCAGATACCGCTCCACAACAAGCGCAGATGGTGAGTTATTCTTTATCCCTTTCAACCTCCCCCACTATCATGATGAACGCGATGTGTATGAAAATACGCTGGAAATTACCGTCTCAGACCTTCGGGTCGGTGATGATACAAATGGCTATTTCTGATCTTTACCCTATCACAACATTTGAATGAAAATTCTTATCGGACCATGAACTAATGTTTCGAAGACCTATAGGTTACTGCGCTGGCTCAAATGGTAAGCCTACAGCACCTTTCCCACAATATTCTCTGTCCGAAGATGAAACGGCACTGGGCTCCGACGGCGTTTAAAAAAATGTCCGGTCATGACGGAGATGCCTTTTTGCGGCAGGCCTAGAAAACCTCGCCCACTGAGACATACCATATATTCATCAACTCGTGAGATGGTTGCGTGACACAGTCACTAACCCTTTTTTTGAATAGAAGCCTATTTGATTATGCCCGCTTGAGACCCAACTGTAACTGTAGAAGGTATGCGATTGAGTCTGTTTTTTTTTCCTGCCCTACCTTTTATGATGATACCCTTTAGATGACGAGTCTGATTCGAGTTTTCGATGCTGACACAATCTTTTAATAACCATTCATGCCTTTCTGACATTCACTCCTACACATAATTTCACTCATCAAATTTCGTTGGCTGGTGCTAATGAATCTTTGAAGACAGATATTTTCCATGAACTTCCAAGTTCCATGAATTTTATATTGACTGTGGGTGTATGTACACCTTGTCTCCTTCCCTTCCCGACTTTACATGATGAAACGACATAAAAAGACAAGCATATGTCCAAGTCAGCTTGCTGGCGAAGACGATAAACTGTCATGCCTGATCAATTCAGTCTCATACATTACTGCAATGTCCATTCAGTACTCGACGCTGATGGATCTCGAACAGAAACCTTAAGCAAACTAATATTGCAGACGCCATTGGCGATCTACTCTACTTCTGTAAGTATTTTTGACAATTTCTTCTTGCATCTCCTTTTATGATGATTCACTTCAATTTATCACGACGGTCAACGTAAGGATTTAAAATTGACGACCACCGCCTGTGACAAGGCTTTTATCTGAAATTCCTTTCACCACATCTTGTTTGCCATCGCTTATTAGACTTGATACTAATATCGATTCAGTGAACAGTTCCAAGCTATCGGATCCGACGTTCTTCTGTTGAGACACGTGGGATATGGTCTTCCATTAGGGAAGTCCGCAGTTAGGAGTTTAAGCTAGCAAATACCAATAAGAATTTAAGAAAAACCTGATCCTTGCTTTATAATGTACGAAATGATATTTTGAATACTTTCCATGTAGACACTACGCTCTTTGCAATTAAGATAATCCCGTCCCTATTATCTCGTTCGTTGTTTTATTGCGGGGACAAGGGAGACAGGGATGTTGGACCTCTCATAGAGAACGATACGCGCCGAGCTTGGGCCTTGGATGTGACGAGAACCTCGTAAGGTGCATAACAATCCCCGCTTCAGCCCGGCTCATTTGTTCTCGGAATTCTTCTTCCTGTTCCAAATTTAGATTTCCTTTTATCGGCTCTACAGTATGGGGCTATTCCCCTCCCCTCGAGCTTGTTGATAGAAAAATTAGCGTCTCGCCTGTTTAGAGCCAATAGCTTTTTCTCTATTCTGTTGGGTTATCCTCTTTCATTCCAGGCGGCCATGGCTTCGGATCGGGCCTCCTAAATGGATGCACAGCCCAGTATGAATAGGTGCGACTCGTATTCTCCCGGGAATTTTCTATATACTGATCCTCTCTCTAGCTGGTTGGGTTCAAATCATGCAGGCGTCGAGCAGCCGCTGAGCAACCATTATCCGGGCTGGTCATCGACATCTGCGAGTCCCAGCAATCAGCCATCACCAGGTCGCCGAGAACATGCCGTACAGCCACCGTTGTTGACAACAGCACTGAGCGGTCCTCAATACCAGGGTCTTGGAGGTAGTCTTGGACTAACACCGACACCTTTATCATCGACCTCGCTGTCGAGCCCATTTACTCACGGTCTATCGCCCGCTGTTCCATCTCCTATTAACGGTAGATCCGTTTCCGCGTCTTCGATGGCGTCCAGAAACGCATACAATGTTCCTTATAACCCCCAGGACTGGGGGCCTCCGGGCAGGTCCCAGGCGCAGGCCCCGTATCTTCCGCCAGGCACTATGCAGCGTGTGACACCGCAAAGAAATAATCCGGGTGAGTCTAACTCACAGCTTATGCCTCTGTAAATCAGTGGTATCCCAGACCCCACTTTGAATTGATATTGATCCTTGAGTAGATGTGTCGTTGTCTCCACCTCCTCCGCCGTACTCACCTCCCAACCAAAATCGAATGTCCCAGGACTTTTCCGGTCAGACAAACCCTAACTTTGCCGGAACACCTTCTCCACCTGACAATAGGGAGAGTAGCTTTGATATGCCTACCCAGTATCAAAGACGCTCAAATCGGCCAAGGCCACTATCCATGGCTTACCCGTCTGACTCTCAGCGCCAGTCACTACCTCCTCCACCTCCCCCGCAGGGACACCCAGCTGGTAGATCTGTTTCTCAAGGTCGAGTGGAGTACCAGGGCATGCCCTATAATGACCAAGCTACGCAATTTAATACCGCTAGCCACAGGCCTCGGCTGGCACAGTATGACCAAGGTCAAGCCTCGCCCGCCTTTAACGAGTATATGTCTGCAAGTGCTCAATTCGAGACACCATCCCGGCCCCCTGGATCCCGAAGAGCCGCATCTGCTGGGGCTGTGGTAAGCAGTGCAGGCTCATCGAGGGCAGCGAGCCAGTCACGAACTCGATCGCCGTCAAATAGTAACTGGGAGCCCGGGATGCCACTTCCGCCGCCACCTCCAGGGCCCCCTCCCGCTGCAAGGTCCATCAGCGTGAGTGGCTCGTCCGAGTCATCACTGAGAACAACCCAAAGCTCGAATAGGACGACGAGAAGGGGACCTCCTGTGCTAGGAACAGGACTGGGAAGCATCCCGCCTACGCCCGCTGACTGGATAGACGAGGGATATTTGAACAGTCGACCAACGGAGGGTTTATATGTTGACACGGCAAAAGCTGCCAAGGCACCAGAGCCGACGGATGGAGATCCCCACGATTTATCTAATCAAAGGACTCCTGGTAGTGGCGGTCTTTTCCGCAGCTCAGCAGTCCGCGATCCCAGTGCCAAGGGCATCCGTGAAAGACGAATTGAACGACGAAACCGGCAAAGCCAGGTCTTTGAACCCCCAAGTGCGATATCGTCAAATGGTAATCCTTGGGCCGATGCTCTCGAGCAGGTCAAACCGTCGAACCTGATTCTACCATCCCAGACCAATAGCCCAACTCAAGATCGGCATCCCACCTCGGGCAACTACGACCAAGCCCTTCGCAGTACCAGCAGTATTAAATCGGAAGGACAGCCTACTGCCTCACGGCCTCGAGCATCTTCCGGTGCTCTCCTTCGAGAAACATCACCCTATGGGACTCCTAGACAACAACCCAACTCTGCTGGTCCCTCGACTGCATTTGCACATACGCCTCCATTTTCACCAAATCCAAATGGAGTGGGCCCGTCAACATATCCCAAAGAAGCTATACAAGCAGTACCACCAAAATCACTACCAACTCCGCCTCTGAACTCAGCAAAAGAGGTCCGGCCACGCTCACGCTCCCGTGCACCCTCCCGAGGAGCAGAAGACCGTCCAATCTCTCACATTCTCCACATGCCTAACGAAGCTGTGTCGATTATGAAACCCTTGTCGCCGCGCCGAACGCCCGGACAGCAGACGGCGCAGGTGTCAATGGAATCGATTCTTAGACAGGATCCCGCTTTCCTACAGGATGCGATTCAAAGGCACAAGACCTTTATTAATAAAGAAGCAAGTGCCGAGGATGATACCGAAGCACTCAAGATATTTGCGGACTATATGCTTGCCGAATCTCAGATCCGGCGCCAGCGGTACTCCAAGGTCTGGGAAACCTTCCAAGTAGAAGATGTCCGCCGCAATCTTTTCGAGTTGCCGGTCCAGCAACCGCCAACGCCAAAGCCCCATCCCAAATTAGACATCCCACAAAATCGAGCAGGTCGACCGGAGTCTGCATGGTGGAATAACTACCAGCCTTGCCTATCGCCGATTGCCAGCCTCAACATGAGCAACGATGAGAGCTCTCGGGGCCGCGCACCAAGTCGCTGGTGGGAGTCGGCAACTGGTTCCACTGGCGAGGGGGCGAGAGAAGGGTTCAACGATCTAAGCGAGAATCGAAGTACATGGGATTGCCTCGGGAGGCGATGCACATGGACCAGGAGTTGACTCCTTCTCAGCCCAAGGATGTGAGGATGAACTATGGGAGTACGGAGTATGGCTCTGATGAGTACCCACCTGAGAAAGTCGGCTGGCATGAAGGGTCTCCTGCAAATTCTACTGGGACTGGATATCGCTATGAAAGCCGCAATTTAGATATCTCGCGGTTGATCACCCTGCCTCCGCCTTATCCCCGCCACCATCCTGCTGTGAATAACAGCCATCCTGATTTGGTTACCCATCGAACTACGGTCCGGTCAATTACTGATCTCGCAGAGATCAAAACCACTAGACATCGATATAAGGCCGATGTGGAACGAATGCTTCAAGAGCACCAGCAACAAGTCGATGAGGGTCATCGCCACTTCAGATCGAACATCCAAAGCCAGATTCAAGACGGCAGTCTGACCTTTGCGGAAGCAGCAGAGGCCGAGGCAGCAATGATTGCCGCAGAGAACGAGCGAGAAAGGGCAATGATCAAACGCCAGCTCGACACATACCAAGAAACCGTGCTCAAACCAATGCACGCCATTCTCGTCGACAGAATCGGCAGAGCCACAGCTTGCATCGACCAGCTGAGCAGCATGCTCTCGGACGATGCACAGAGCGGGACACCCGATCAAACCCAGGAAGAAGGCGACGAGAAGCCCGAGCTCCTAGAGAAACTGACGCAACTAAAATGGCTCTTTGAAGCCCGCGAGCAGCTCCACCGCGAGTCATTCGACCTGATCAGCGACCGCGACGACAAATACAAGGCCGTCGCCCTTCTCCCTTACAAGCAGACCAAAAACGAGGACAAGCTACGTGAGACGCAAGCTTTCTTCGCGCAGGACGCACTAGACCGCCGCGTACAGTACGAAAACGAGGCGCTAACGCGACTTGAGGCTTTCCTGGACGTCATCGAGCAGAACGTCATGCGAGGTGTCGAGGTGCAGCTCTCCGCCTTCTGGGATATCGCCCCGTCCCTCCTGGCTCTTGTGCAACAGGCGCCTGATGACCTGCGCGGCTTCCAGGTGCAAATCCCCGCGGACGAATACGAGGAAAACCCGAGCTACCATGAGCATCCGCTGCAGTACTTGTATACACTGCTGTCACATGCGGAGAGATCGAGCTACCAGTTCATTGAGTCGCAGACGAACCTACTGTGTCTCTTGCATGAGGTGCGATCTGCCGTTATGCGGGCTAGTCAGAAGCTTATGGAAGCGCAACGTATCAAGCGTGGGGAGGCGGAGGAGGATGTTCGTCGTGAAATGCATCAGACTCGTGCTGATGAAGAGCTGGCCCTTACGACTGATCTTAAGGATAAAGTTGCTACCGTTGAGGGTCAGTGGACTGAGGCGCTGGGGAGCCAGATCGAGGGGTTGAGAGAACGAGTTAAGAAACAGCTTATGAGTGAAGATGGCTGGGAGCAATTGGAACAATTGGAGGAATAGATGTGTGGCTTTTGTGAATTCTTATGTACTTGGCAGCGTGATATCCCCATTCGTTCGTTATAGATCAAGTGATGCGAGGCAGTGCCCGCTACACTTGAGTTTTTGGTCTCCGTTCGGTGGTTGAATTTACATATATTTCAACTAGTTAATCTCATTGCCAAAAGTGAAGACGAAGAATGACCTCATGATATACTGAGATATCGCTAGCGTTATCCACAGTCACGTGCACCTTCTAGAGTCTTCCGTCTCGGCGCTTCAAATAGCTCTCTTCCCCCTCGACTCTCCTTCCTTTTATTTCACCTCAGTCCTTAATATCCTTGTCATTGATATTCTGGGCTTAATTACAACTGTAAGTTTCAATTGTCTTTGCTTTTACAACATTCCCCTCGAGTGCAAAAATGGTTGTGGGATTTATACCCCTCGACCTCACTCAATCAGCCTTACATGAAGAGAATTCAGCTGGCACCAGTCTGAGAGATGTTTCTCCATCTACTTGCGGACAACGCTTAACAAGTCCGGGATACGCCCCGAGACCTGACATTGGCCTTTCCTTGCACATGCAATTTTCGTCTACTGCGAGAAAGAATCATGGCTAACGGGATTTTCAACAGAACTTTTAGCACTCTTTTTTTTCAAAAGATTTCATTTTTTTTAAAAAAAAACACAGGAAGCAACCCACTTTCCAACCCCAAATCAGAGTTTTCTTTCATTCCCCTAGTCAACATTCATCATGGTCCTTCACAACCCCAACAACTGGCACTGGGTCAACAAGGATGCCTCTGGCTGGGCCAAGCAGTACTTGGAAAAGAACCTTGTCGGCATCAGTGTCGAGGAAGGGGGCGTGTCAGCCAAAGTAGACAAGCTGTTGTCCATGGATGGCGACGTAGATGTCAGCCAGCGCAAGGGCAAGGTCATCACTCTGTTCGATGTCAAGGTCTCGCTAGAATACTCAGGTTTGTAGTCCAATATCAATTCAGTTTATTTCAATTTGTCTTTTTTTTTCTCTTTCTTTTGTGGACCTGGCAGCTGAGACGCTTCCATAGGTAAGACCAAGGACGATGAGGATGTCAGCGGCACCATCAGCATTCCCGAGGTAGCCCACGATACCGAGGAAGATGAGTACGTCGTATGTTCACTTAACCCACCCCCATCGCCAAGGTGATCTGTAATACTAACCATGTAAATCCCCTCCAGTTCGAGATTGAAAACAAGGCCGACTCCAACTCCAAGCAGCCCGTAAAGGACCTGGTGCGCACCAAGCTCGTCGCCGAACTCCGCAAGACCCTGTCCGGCTTCGCCCCCGCCCTGATCTCCGAGCACGGCAAAGACCTCCAGCACGCCCCGGGCGTCAACCCATCCAGCGGCTTCCCCAAGGCCAACGTCCACCCACACGTCAAGCCCGAAACCTCAGCCGCGAAGACCACCACCACTACCACCAAGACCAGTAAGGCCGTCGTCAACACTACCACCGTGACGGCCTCGGATGAGTTCCGCACCACAGCCGGCGAGCTCTACAGCACCTTCACGGACCCCCAGCGCATCACGGCGTTCACGCGCGGCGCGCCGCGCCAATTCGAGGGCGCCAAGGTCGGCGGCAAGTTCGCCATCTTCGATGGCAACGTCACTGGCGAGTTCGTCACCCTCAACGAGCCCAAGCAGATTGTTCAGAAGTGGCGTCTTGCTCAGTGGCCCGAGGATCACTTCAGCACGCAGGAGATCAACTTCGATCAGAATGATGTCGACGGTGTTACTCAGATGCGTGTTTCTTGGTCTGGCGTTCCTCTTGGCCAGGAGGATGTCACCAAGCAGAACTGGGACATGTACTATGTTCGCAGCATTAAGCAGACTTTCGGGTATGTCCTCTTTCCTTTCTTATTATCTCGTGCCTTGTGTCTCCCATTTGTCTTGTCTCCACATTCATCTCTTTCGGGATACCCCCTTGTTTCTCCTGGACTGCTTTGCCAATCCGCCGTCTGTCTACAGATCTCAGCCTTCCTCGGCAACCTCGCAATACTGGAATCAGTCACTAATCATACTCGTTATTCTCCTTGGTGTAGGTTTGGCACTATTCTCTGATCGACTACATCTCTCACCGGTGGCATGAAAGACACAAAACAATGCATTCGTCCGAAGATTTCTTCCTCTTTTTCTCCATGAATTGGCCACAGATAAAGACTGCAAAAGCGCAAGCACTAGATTATTTGCCTTCTTTTTCAATTCGTGTCTCTTTTCTTTTCCACTCGTCTGGCCCTACAGTTGTGTGTTGGGTCTAGGCACAATGATGCTATGATAAGAGGAATGGTCTTATGTCTATGATAATGAAGATAAGTTTATGTTTTGATCCACTTGGACCCTTTGATAGACGGCATCCTCGTTACTCTCCTATTGCCGGGCTTTGTTTGCCCTCATAATGACCTCCCGCCTTTGAGCATATCGGAAATTCTCAAGATGGCCGACTGTGAGATTGAGTCCTGCAGTTGACGGGCCTTCTTATGAAGAGTGCCTCAGCATATCCATCAAATATCCCTGATGCTGAGATAGATGAAGCTCTGCGTTCCGCCTCTTCCAAACAAGCCCGCTAAGAGATGGAAGCCTTTCTCTGCTTTCTTGTTTTGTCTCAACTCTCGACAGGTCTGCCCCGTGTAAATTGCCCCTGGTGTAACCTCTTTCCTCCGCAGCACTATGTACTAACTACCCGAACAAAAGGTCAAATAGTAGGGCCAAGATTAAGATCTTGATGGTTATGGAAACCCATGTCTAGGTAGATCCAAGCCTTACTGGGAATGATGAGTTGTTCTACATAAACGCATATACGTCCCATTGATTGGGTAGAATATAGTAGCAATGCACACTGGTATTTCATTCGTCGTCTATGTCATTCCTATATTTTTTACTAGCCGAAAATCTATTCAATTTTAGGATCCGACTACTCCCTTACAGAGTGCGCTCAATGAGCTCCATGCCGTAGTCCTCCTTTAGGGTCTTGATAAGAGGCTCACAGATGTCCCAGGTAACGGGAGCGAGAACACCCTATAATAAAGTGAGTATAGAAAACTTGAGAGCAAAGGGGATATAGATAAACATACAGTCTTGCTGATAGTACCATCGAGAACCTGCTTAACAGCAACACCGCAAGGAATACCAACGGTGCGGGCCATGGCAGAGCTGACAGAGTTACCGTACTCGCACAGGGTGGAGGTACGGGTCTCCTTGGAGCCGTCCTTGTTCTCGATCTCAAACTTGTGCTGGAGCATAACAAGGTCACGCTCGTCGGGGCCGTACTGCATCTTCTGCTCGAGGGTAGCGCAGAGGGTGTCGAGGGCGTTTCCGCGGGGGATGATCTGCTCGTCGGAGAAGAGACCAATCCAGCGCAGACCGGAGAGGAGACGATCACGCTCGTCGTTGTTAGGGAACTTAGTCTTGGATGCGATGGCCCACTGCAGATCCTTCTCGGAGGAGGAGGTAGCGCCGAGAACGGCCTTAGTGGCCTCCTTCCATGAAGTGGCCTTATCGAAGACGCTGTTAGGGGCGTCGTTGAGGAAACCAATGTCGACAAGGACCTTGATCATCTCAGGGAAGCCCTGGTAGCGAAGGGTGCCGCGAATAACGGTCTGGGCCTCGGGGATACCGTAGCGCTCGCGGAAGGGAGTCTGGAGAGATTAGTTGGCCGAAATCAAAGTTTTTGAATGCATAAATGGCATACAGAGTCACGGTTGGGGTAGCCGACGAAGGCGAATCCGGGGTAGATGAAGAAGGGCTTAGCGGTAGCCATCAGATCGGGGCCATCAATGGACACGATCTCACCATCTGTATTCTGCATTAATACGGTTTGGGTCCTGTTCATATGTAAATAGCGCACATACCCTGGTAGATCTTGGCGGCGTTACGGAGGGCGAGAAGCACACCGCGGCTGAGCTAGTTAGTCATTTGTTCAAGCAAAAACCCAGCATTGGAATTTAGCTAACCTAGACCAAGAGAACTTGAAACAGTCATATGTTAGTTAGTTATCAAATTAGTGAGAATTGGGATTTGCTAACCTTGTATCCCAAGGGGTTGTTGGAGCATTCGGGGGCGGGCAAGCTGTTGTTTGTTAGCTATACCTCCTATATAACATGGGAATGGCCGGACGAACCCTCCACAGAAGGAAACAAAGCTGGTGATCTTGCCGCCAGCAGCGTGGACCTCGTGAATGGTCTTAACAGCGTCTATGTCTTATAAGCGTCGGTCTGTTTTGATCCATGGCATAGACACTTACAGAGGTGATCGAGACCAGGGTCGAGACCGATCTCGTTCATGACGGTGATACCAGCCTCGCGGCACTGCTCGTCCAACTCCATCATTGCTGGGGAAACGTAAGAAGTGGTGACCACGTTTGTCTGTAGTAAATTAGTAAGGTGTTCGCTTCTTCTAAGAAACAATAGTTACCTTAGTGCGAATAGCAGACTTGATGACGGTAGCGTGGAAAGTGTATGGGATAAGCGAAATCACAACATCGGCTTGATTCAGGGCAGCATCGAGGGCGGCATCGTCGTTGACATCAAGAGAGATAGCCTTGGCGTTCTTGAAGCCAGAGGCCAGGGCCTGGGCGCTCTCGAGGGTACGGCAAGCTATGACGGTATCGTTAGCGGTGTTCGATGCAATAGGAGTCGGTATAGCTTCAATTGAACATACCGACAGTGACCTCAACATCAGCCTTGCTGAGGACCTCAACAGTGGGCTTAGTGACTATTAGAAATCAGAAATTAGCAAATGTATTGACTCTAGAAGCTCGATGCGGGGCAGCATGACGCATTTAGGGCTTGGAGATTTGGAAGAGAGACGGGAGGCGTACCGAAGCCCGAACCCAAAAGGAGGGCCTTGGAACCAGCGATTTGCTTAACCATTTTGATTCAATTGATATGATAGATGATATTGGGGTAGTTCATCTGGAAAACATCCCGCAGTTCTGATGTGTGACTCAATATCACGTGTACCGGTATCGGCGCTGCGGGGGTTTCTAA